AGCTCAGTGATAAAACCCGCTTAGAAAACAACTCCAAAGTTCATTCTTTTGCCGAACTCAAATATTCCCGTGTAATCATCTAGTTGACCTTGATGGAACCAGTGATGCACGTGATTGCCATATGACAATTGCTTATGACGTAAAAAATAGTTGTGTGCGCATGTCCACCAGGTGAGCCCGCAATTTCTTTGGCCGGCTATTGGGCTTAAAATTCGTGCGCGCGCTTAATAATTATTCAAAATGGCGCAGATTTTGAACATCGCCCGTCCAAGTAACCAAAAATCTCGGGCGCTTTCCATTTAGGAAAAAAACCCGGAAATTTCGGTGGTGGCAAAAGTGGAATTTCCGATTGGTAAAAAGTTGTTCCATTTGGTCGTAAACCCCGGTACGTGGCGTTTCCCGACCGTGGACCTGGAACTGGTACAAACTACGAGAAACGTAAATGGAACACGACATTCCGTTCGGAAATTCCAACCGGGAAAACGGGACCACCTTTTTAGATTTTCCACTTTTTCTGGAAATTTTCCAGTGGGACGAACCGACGAAACGTGTTCCATTTACCGCCGAACCGGAAATTCCGGAAATTTTGACTAAATGGAAAGCGCCCCTCGAATCTTCACGCCTGGCATGCACAGGTATCCCATCGACCACAGGATCCCCAAAGATTACGAAGCGTTCTCCTAACGTCGAACGCAATTAAAATATAAATATATATATATATTTTACTAGATTACCGTGTGATAATGCACCTATCAATGTAAATCCCGTGGGAGGGGAGGAGAGCGGGCAAGGGGAGGGGATTTGATGCCTGGGACTATCCCCGCTGTCGGGCTTTTGATCGTGCGAAGCGACTCCGGGGTCGGGACATTTGACTTTGACCGACAGAAGCCTGGTACCAATTCAGAAGCAGTTACCAAGTCCGTCCCTCGAGGCTTCCTGGAAGTCACGTTGTTGGAGAAAGGTATGAAGTTTTCATTTGTTTTAATCACCATAATCCGATACTTTAAACTGTTATCTAAACAGATAATGTCTATTTTGAGAAAGTTTTTATCTTCAAGTTCCCATCTGATTGTAAAACGCCACCGTGAAGGTCAGAGGATTTTTTATGGGTCACTGATCCGACCTGTTCCGACATGTTGAGCAGCTGTTATAAAGCATTTTACATTTTATTAATATTATATAGCACGGTCAATCTTCCTGGAGTGATTTTGTTGTTCAAGATAAGAGATGCTAGTGGAGAGAGAATACTTAATTACAGCGAGTAATTTAATGGAGCTTCCGTTAACCGTAAATAAAAGTAGTAACAACGTGTTTGAAATGTTCTTTTATTCGTTTTATATAGTATTATAGCATTGTTTCTTTAGATTTTTTCCCCTGGGGTGGGGACTTTTTTTGACACTTTTGATTGACCTTTCGTTTCCCACCCTGGGGAATTTGATCGAAAAATTTTAAAATTTGTCAAATCCCTACCCCTTGCCCGCACTCCCCCACGGGGTTTACATTGATAGGTGCATAACTCGAATTCCCTCACGTACGAACAACGAAAGGGGGCAAAGTCCAACACTTTCACGTGCCAGTTGTGTGACTGTACATCTCATGCAGATTGGCTTTTCACAATAATAATAGTAACTTGAACGTATGAAGACCTGTTTCGTTTTGTAACCAATGCCTTAAAAAAGGCTCTTGTCTTTTAAGAAGCAATAGCTTTTAAAACATGAAGAAATAAGTTGTTGGAGTTAAGGACTGTTTCACTGAGTAGAATCGCACGTGAAAACCTCGTGAATTGTGATGATGCAACCATCTACCACAATGATAAGAATCCTGGTATTTCTTAACTACTCGAATTCGATGAGTCACATTTTGGCTTAAGAAACTCCGAGGAAACCTTAGAGTTTTCCTTCTAATCAACGTTTGGTGAGTAGATATTTATTTTACTTTAATAATCTGTTTAACTTGCACCACATGTAACAGGGAAAGGCAGGGGAAAGTGAATATATAGAATGAGGATCGACGCATCTGAGCGTGTTCGCGTTTTCATTTATATACGGCAATACCCAATTTCGCACAAAAACCCAGTCTACATTTAGGACGAAAAAGGTAGATTCATCACTCTTGGTAAGGTTACACTGAAGCATTAAAGTTACACTGAAACATTCAAAATAGCTCATGCACGTTTAACGTGCCTATGTTTTAAAGTGGGACAGTATGTTTGCTGCCAAACGTTTTGGGCCCGCGTAAGTTCTCGTAAAGACATGCGCAGTGCAGTTAGAAGCAAAGATGGATGACGAAGCTTCTGTGCTGTATCTCTTAAGAAAGCCTTTTCACAAAGTTCAAAGCTCAACTATGGACACCGAAGTTGGCAAAACTTTGCCGGCAAGAATCCTCTACCTTAAACAAAGAAAGAAAACATGGAAACTTTTTATGTTTCTTGTGGTTATAATGTTGACAAATACACCCATCGATAGGGGCGTTTGGTCGTTTCTTTCATAATTGTACGTGATTCTTTTACGTCGCTTTCTTTCCAAGAACGGCCGCGTGATTTTGGTGGAGAAACGCCGAGCAGCCATCTTGAAATATGCGCAAGAAAACCGCTAGCCTATATGAATTAAGGCTCAAATTTGGCCCGTTGAAGTGTTTACACTACTTGTTCTATCCGAACCGTGCCGTTTTTTTTCAGCGCCTGTACCATTTTCACCCGTACTCTGACTACCTCGCCGAAGGTCCCAGCAAGGGTAAAAATTTTCGTTCGGCACGGATGAAATTTGGTACCGACAGGTTGTTTACACTGCAAATTTTATCCGAGCCGAACCCTTTTTTTCGGGACCCGTGCCATTTTCACCGAGCCCTACCCAAAGTTTTCTGTAGTGTAAAACTGGCTTTTAAAATTTGCAGTTGTTCCCCATTTGAAGAAATCCGTTTTGTGACGTCATCAAAAGTAGGAAATTACGTGACTGTATATAACATTTTAATTCGATCAAACACGTCATAAACTTATTCTTACGAGCTCCATGCGCGAATTCTTTTTTTAAAAAAAAACTGTTGGGGGTCCTCTATTAAAAGAAATTCAAGCCTTAACACGCTTGAGTCATCACGAGATACGTTGTCATATCTTACTGTTTCAATCCTAACTTTGTGACTGCTTATTGTTAGTTTCACTAATGCTTTCCTGGAACGGTTCTTTCTTGTAAGATCTATGTAGGCGGCGTGGGGTGGGAGGGGGGGAAGCATAATCCTTTTTGATTGTGTAAAAAAGTTACGTTTTTATGAGTGTTGAAGGATTTGGTTCCAATAAAATATATACTTCATTTTCATGAGTTCTCTATATTGTTTAATTTTAGGTCTATTCAGTGTGTTATAATTAAAGTCAGAGAAATTATCAAAATTATCAACTTCACTGACTTTATCTTCGACATGAAGATTTCAGTACCAGAACAGTCAATACAATGACAAATGAAAGAAAGTAAAATAAAAGTTAAGAAAGAAAGTAACAACAACTATATATTGAATATTATCATAAAAGAAACATTACTTGGCTATGTAGGACTTCTACGCTACTCGTATGGTAAGAAAGTTTAATTAGAGTTCGGATTTACAACAATTTAGAATATTTTCAATATAAGAGGCACTAAGATTTATGATGTTTTCATCGTACATAGACATGATATGTAAAAATAGTGCCTTGCAAGACATGTTCGTAAAATTACTGGTTATCGAGTATAAGATCTCCAAGAAGATACTCCTCATATGAGAAAGTGATGAGTGAGTACTTTTCAACAAATAGTGGAATTCATCACCAATTTCTGATCTATTACAAAGGGGGCAAAGCCTCTCAACTCTGGGTATCTTCTTGTAGCGTCCAGATTCAATAGGTAGCAAGTGGCAAGAAATCCGCATTTTGGTTACTGCCACTCTTGTCATGACGTTCTTTATTAAATCAAGATAAGATTCAAATCTGACTTCTTTTTCAGTTCACTATGCAGAGTTAATTTATTTCCAACTGAGGAGTCGAATAAACATTCTAACCAGGTGAAGAATTGTCCTGTGGTCAAGATGTGGTAGATTTGGAGTATAATCACTTAATTTGGTAAAGTGTAATAGGTGTCTTCCAGTAGTAAACCATGAATGCTTACGTACATTATTTAAATGGATGTTTATCTCTAGGGCGCTACTTAAAATTTGGTCATTTTGTAAGGTAAGTAACCTTAAGAAGTACTTAAAAATTATTAGTGTAAATAATAAGATGAAGAGGAAAACGTCCGAGTTCCCCCTCCACAGCATGGTTACTTGCTTTAGAGTGAACCCCTAAGGCCATTTCGCATACCTTGTTATACATATTCTCGGGTGTTATTCATTCATCAAAAATTCTCGAGACACATTTGTCATAGTTATTCCCAACTGATTTTAAAAAACAACCCCAAACTTCACAGTTGTACAAAAGGATTGGGCTCACAAGAGAATCAAAAAGTTTAAGAACGGTTGAGACAGATGCACCATTGTAGATATTTACCTCTGACAGGAAACTATAAAGAGACCTGGTGGCTTTATTATATAGCTTTTTCTGGGCCAGTGAAAAAGAACCAGAGGGCGTGAAATTTACCCCCAGGTAGACATAACTATCTGTTTTTTTTTTTTTTTTTTGGATTTCTTAAATCAAAATTATCTGCGCAATTATTTAAATATATATATTTTTTGTTTTATTCTTTTGTTTACTTCTTCATCGCCCTTCCGTAAGGATCAGTTTGCCGTTTCATATTTTTCTACAAGTTTAATTGTACTGATCCAGGTCTACAACTGGGAGGCCGGCACCACTCATTGGTTTGTTGCTGTGGACTTGCTGACATTTTATATACTTTGAGATTATCACTATGTTACAATTACAGAAGCCAATAATATTATGTTAGATCTTTCACTGATGAAATTAATGTATCGATACCCAGATCAAGCGCTTGAAACGGCTGCGGGGAGGCAGTTTTGGATTTCTTAAATTGACTATGCTTATGACGATGACGTAATCGAACAGGCGTTTTCACAGCTCCCTCCCAGGGCACACGTCCATATATTGAAGTATTTAACATGGCCCACAACATTTGATCCACCCCTGTTGAGTACGGAACGTGCAGTTGTTACACACCGCACTATATCCATTCACGCGGTAACAATCTTCCCGACTCCACTCTCTGTTGTTTCGGTAGTAAATCATACTCTTCGTTCGCGCACTACAGTTGTAACAGCTTACTTTTCCCACTGGAACATCACAGACGAGAAAAGGACTGCCTTTAATGTGGGTTTGATGAAAAAGCACTGAAAGCCTAAGAGTACCCTTTGAATAAGATGGGATGGTATAGTTTACCACGTAAGTACCGTCGCCTTTGTCCTCTACATTACATTTAACTCTCACTTCGTCATTTTCTGTAAGTTCCACCATGAACAAGTCACCTCCAACACCACGTAGACTTCCTTGAACGTCACGTGCAATAATAGTACATGAAGCCTCCTTTCCAGGCACTGCTACCTCTAAACCTGCTCCCTGAGCGGTGGTGGTGGCTGCACAGGTAGACTTATCACTGACCATGCCGGCGTTATGAAGAAAGTCAAGCAGTTGCTCAAGGTTGATGTTGAAATCCAATACAGCACGATCCACTTGAGGTTCAAGCACGAGGGGTTGTTTCTCCATTGCCCCTATTGTTGATACTATATCAGTCATGGCGACTAGGAGCTCAGTGTTGCCTGATTGGATTGTGGACGTAGCACGCTGGACGGCACTCTCTAGGCAGGCTTGGAATATACGCAGACGGTCTTGCTGTTCTGTTAGTGTGAATGCTTTGGTCTTACGTAACTGATCCAGTTCATTCAACAGAGCTTGTTCTCTGGTAGAAAGGGCAATATAAAGCTGCAAAACAAGAAAATTTCGCGGCCGTTTATATTAGTCTACGAAATCTAAAAAGTGAGGCCGTGTTGCACTTTGAATGCTCCTTGGAGAGATATCTATCAAATGCATAACCATTATTCACTTTGTCAGAATGAAGGGTCAACGCGCATAAGAAAACCCTGTACATTTTGCTAAGTTCACTCTCAGTGTGAAAATGGTCTGAAGATGATCGATTGTGAAAATTGCTCATTTGTGCTTGCTCCCTTTTAACAGGAGTGAAAAATATAAAAGCTAATTGAATTAATTAAATAATTGAATAAAATCAGACCCGGGGGGTGCTCCTGGGAATTCTTGGTGAGGTGTGCCGCCCGGTTCTCCAAATCCTGACCCTTTTTCAGGCCACAAAAATGTCATTTTTCACACCCGTTTTCAGACCTAAAACCCATACCGATTTTCAGACCTGGCTTCTAAGAAAATATGTTATCATTACTTAGACTGATTAGAACGCCGACAAAAAAATCCATTTCGAATTCGCATGTTTCTCTTTCTTTCTTATTCACTTGGAATTCACGGAAATCAGAAAAGTAAATGTTAGCTTACGTCTTTGAAGGCACCTTTGATTCGAGCAGCCTGTACCTCGTACGCCTTATTCAGATCAACGCTTACAGCCGCCACTTGAACTTCTGCAGCTTTAATTTCCTCGGCGTGGGTGCTAGCTTTGGTAACAAGTGCTTCCATTTCCTGGCGGTACTTTGAAGCAGCTTCAGCTAATGATAAACACTTGTGACCATTGTGCTTGAGAGTAACGCAGTCCCTACACACGACACGATTGCATTCCTCATCAAAGAAGCGGTATTGCTCATTATGGTCTGGGCAGAAAACTGGCACAGCAGCAAGCTTTGGGTTTGCCTTTAGTTCCTCTAGGGAAACAACACGGTGACCGCGGGTCGCCTTCTGTCGAGTATGCCATCGAGCAACATCCTTGCACATATCCTCTTTGCAATCCAAACAACAGGATGTCGCAGGGTGCTTCTCCTCATCACAGACTTCACAAAGGCGCAAATCTTCATTGCCACCTGCTGGAGTCTGCGGAGTGGCTTGTAAGACGTCTAGTAGGGCAAAATTCTTTGGGAGTCCTCTGACACCAGCCGGCACAGACACTGCACTCCTGCAAGTGGGGCAGTTAATTGCATACTCTTTGAACAGCTTCTCCAAGCAGCTTGAGCAGAAGCTGTGACCGCAACTCAGTAAACGCGGGCAGAGTTTTTCTTCATTAAAACGCTCGCAGCAGATTGAACACTCCAGTCCCTCAGACGCCATTGTCTGAAAAAATAGAAACACCAATCAAACCTAAATCAAATAAACTATAGCTCCTGACCATATAGTTAGTAAAGGAGACTGGTTATGAAAACCGGCACACATCAAAGGTGAAAACAATGGTGCTGTCCCAGTTTATGTTGGAAGTTCCCTGACCGTGCACAGTCCTTTGTTTTTTGTTCACAAATTATGACTGAATACACAATTAATGCGATGCTTCTACTGGTCAGTAAGTTCAAAATGACAGGAACGCTATGGAAAGCTGTGCACGGTCAAGTCTAAAAGCCCAGGAGGGGGTACTCCCATATATAAGTCATATAGGTATGTAACGCCCCAAAGGGTAGGGTTTTTGCTCCGTTTTGGTCTGAAAACGGGTATAGATTTTGCTCATTTTGGTCTGGAATCAGGTATGGTTTTCAAGGGAACTACGGGAGTGTATGAACGTATTTATTGTTTCAATTCTAAATGAGTAAGAAAGAAAGAGAAATATTCGAATTCGAAATGCATTTTAAGAAATCTTTTTTGTTGCTGTTCTAATCTAAGTAATTAAATCATAATTTCTTAAAGGCCAGGTGTGATAAGAGGGTGGGCAAGGGGGGAGGGTCTCAGCACGAGTTCACCAGCTACAATGTTGCGTTTCACGAGTCACGCAACAAATATTTAGGTTTTCACGTTTTTCAAAAATAGGAGTGGTAAAAAACGTCAAGAACGTTACGTTAGTACCATTTTGTATAACAGAATACTTTGATTATATCTTAGCAAGTTAACTAGAATTTTAGGAACCTTATGAAAAACACTGCACGGCTATAAATTCCAAGCGTAGTTGGTTTGTTTACGGGGCGTAAATAAACCAACTACGCAACAGACAAGCCACGCGAACGACTTCGTAAACGCTATTAAAAAGCCATGCAAGAGAGAAACCTCTGCTCGCAGGTAAACAGGACCTCACCACTGACATTTAATCCGGTATCTCACAAATGTTCATTGACAATAGTAGTTTGGTTTGTTTAAAATCTTTAGGCTGGTTAAAAAGCGGCTATGGATAAATTAAAGACGCATGGTGTAAATGTTTTCCACAAGTTAGGTGCATGTACACGAATCAAGATCTGCGAATGAATCTAGTCCAAACGACCAATGTTTCTTATCTCGGACATTGCAATTTTTTGGCGTAAACAGTTCCTTTAGTTAGGTTCTTACACTGGTGAACTGTCTCATTTTAAAATCATCATATTCACGATCGTGTAAATGTTTCATCTTTAGAAGGATAATAAGGAACAGTCCGCCCAGGAGAACCTAGTACTTTCACAACACACTGACAAAGGTTAGTTGCCGATATTCTGCGACAGGGCATTGATAAACAGGACCATTACAGTTTCTTATCAGTGAGGCAGGCATAACATAACATAACATAAAACTTTATTTAAACTCGAATTTTAGAGTAGCTAACAAGCTAATATCTTCGAGCTGACACTACATAAAAACTATATAGAAAATATATATATACATTAAATGCAAGGAAAGAAAATATCATTTACAATTCACAATTAGGCGTTTTTTGATATGTTATGCTTACCTTTATGAGGCAATTCAACGATCGGAAGGGAACAAACAAAAATCACAACAGTACTTCCGCCTTTCTTCTACACGGTGAAAATAGCTAGTCTATCATCTTGTACATCATGTATGCCTGGCTCGTGCCCAGGCACACAGCGGAACATTCGTATAACATACATGACGCATAGGCAACTTCTTCATTCATTTATTCATTCATTCATTCGGCACTTCATTTAGCACGGTAAAAATATCCCATATCAGTTACAATTAATAGTGCAATTGAAATAATAAAACCGATATACATGCTTGCCGCGTGGGAGTTCTAGGGGGCCATATTAAAGGCAATTGATTACATTTTTAAACGTCGTAAACGATCTGGTCACTCTCGCATTATGGGCAAGGCTGTTCTACAAATGGGCCCCACTGTAGCCGATACAGTTTAAGGAGTTCAGTACTGGGATTTGGCAGAGCTACCTTATTTGCCTTGTCTCTAAGATCGTATTCCGTGGTGAATGGTTTGAATAGATCTTGTAAGAACTCCGGGGTTCGTTTATTCAAAATTTTAAACAATAGTTTAGCTTTCAGTTTTTTCGTTCTCAGTATACAGTATGTGGCCCTTGGTCCGCGACTAAAAATTACTCAGATTATTATCATGAATATCTTAGCTGAATCAAAACGTAACGAGCTGAAATACTCCCTGAAGATAGCTTTTACGTTCCTCTTGATAATCGTGAGGCTGCCAGTTCCAAAATTAAGTATATTGCTTGTAATTCGAGAAAAGGCGACCGTTCTCGATAGTCCTTGGTCCGCGACTCAGGTAAGCAGCCCGAAAAAAACGTAAAAATGTGATAGTTTCCTCACGAAAACGTGATTTTTGCAATATTTCATTTATTATTTTCTATTCTTAATGCAATAAAGCTGTAGTTTTTTTCGGAAGATGTTGTGAGTATAAAATAATCTGCTTTTCTTGCAGACTTCAGACAACAGTCTCCCTCGAGTCTCCCACACGAGCGTCGACGAGCGGTTTTCAGCGCGGTCGAAAATAATCACTAAAAACTCTGTATGTGTTCGAGGTATTAAAAAAGAGAACTTGTAGGCATGTATAGGGAAGATTTTTAAAATATTCTTAAAAAATAAAGGCCGTCGCTCTTTATTTTGCGAAGTTTTATTCAACCAAGGTCATAAGTCGCGGACCAAGGACCACTACGCGAAAAAATTCAAAGTCTGCAGCAATATGCTTCCAACAGCACAAATTGGTTGACCCGAAAACCTGTTCTGCAAAAAGGCACGTCTTCCCGTTGCGTTTTATTTATTCGAAAGCTAGGTAAACATGACCAAGTAATTTACTGTGCCGCAAAAATCCAAACTTCAAGAAAGACAAATTAACCTACCTGTCAACAAACTTTAATTTCGCGCCTTTACCCACAGCAAGAAAGCCGAAACTTCGTCAAATGAAAGAATGCTAATCAGTAAATCACTATATCTTTCATTATTCTCCGTATTTTTTTTCTGGACGAAATATTTTATCAGTTTTGAAAAAGTGGCGGACCAAGGGCCACATACTGTAGAGGTTATCCCATCCTAAATTTGTGAGGAGGGCGGTAGCACTACAGCGGTAATCGAACTTTGTGATTACTCTAATGGTAGGATTTTGTAGTTTTTGTAATTTATCGGCTAATTCGTTGTTGAGACCGTCCCAAACAGGGCAGCAATAGTCGAAATGCGGTTTGATAAGAGCTCTATATAGCAGTATAGCTGTATCTACACAGATGTACGGCCTAAGCCTTTTATATAAGTGCACCTATACCAGAGGAAATAGTTCTTGCAATCTCATCGACATGTTTGGACCATGACAGATAATGATCAATGTGAATTCCTAGGGATTTAGTGTCACATACCCTATTGATTACTTGATCTTCCAAATGAATGTTAAGTGAATGATGAGTGTTATTTGCAAGTCTTTGACGTGAGCCTATCAACAAAAGCTCGGTTTTAGCAATGTTTAGGCTTAAGTTATTAACAATTAGCCAATTGTGAAGGTTAGCAAGTTGTTTTCGCCATTAATTGTACCTTCATCAAGATAATTGTACCTTTGAAATAAGAGTCAAACAACCTAAGGGATCGATAAGGGCCTTATGATCAACTCACTCCATAGATATTGTGTCGAAAGCTTTCTTTAAATCTATAAATATCACACCGTTGATAAAACCATTATCTATGTTAACAGACCAACTGTTAGTGGCCTCGAGCAAGGCCGTGATTGTGCCAGATTGACAGTTAGCTAAAAGATCATTGTCGTTAAGATAACTATAGAATTGATTGTATATTATTCTTTCGAAAATCTTGGCAGCAGCTGGGATAATCGAAATCGAAATCTCGTTGTTCTCGATACTCTCCACCTTTGCACGTGCTAAAGGACTTATGGGAAAAAAGCAATGTCACGTGGTTTCTCAGGGGGCAAACAAATGATAAAAGCTGCCACTGCAAGAAATCGCGGTCGAGTTTGTTTGTGCTATCAAAACAAGACGACGATTAATAGTCTAACAAAAAGTGCATTTCGAGTTTTGCACGTTCGTATTTTGAACGAGCACTTGTACTCTTAGATAATGGTTTGAGAAGTGAAAAATAACCTTATGTTATGCACGAGGGGTACGGTCAAAGGGTCAAAGATTTGGCAGGCAGGTTTGTTCCTTTTCGGCTTGTTTTGGGTATTTGACGTAGTGACACCGGAATGCCTTGGTGATACCGCGAGATCACTTCTAGTTCTTTCGGCTACAACAAACATTTGAGGCGGAGCGCAAAGTAATAGGGAGCTTACGAATCGACGACTTTCGCACGACGCCGCCGCTGGGTCACGTCATAGTTCTGCGTTGCCGTCCTGTAGAAATTTGAATTTACGATTCGTAGTAAAGACGACGACGTTGGTGCGCGCGGCAGGCAAATTTTCCCGCCGTTTCTGAAGTTTGTTTTCTTCTTTTCACAAGTAAGCTTATTTGTTCAACCAAAATGTTTAAATTCATAAGAGAAACGAGAGCTCGTATTGTAGGCGCTTATGGAAACAGATTTATAAAGGACCGAGTATTTCACTGTATTTGTCTTTTTATGCGTTTCGTCAACAAACTCAGAGTTAACTACGGATTTAGACGAGACAACAAAGGACGAATGCAAGGCGCGTTTATATACAGGTGGAGCATTTATAACCTTGCTGAACAGCTGTAGTTACTGTGATGAGACAACCGTTTGCAATGGTCTAGTTGTTGCTTTGGTACCATCTTGCCAATGTGGTTTCACTCGGTGTTAATTTATGTTTGTCTACCGCTAGCTATGGTGTTGATTCTTCGGGTCGTTACTTCAATGAAAACAAACAAACAAATAGAAAACATATGTAAAGAACATGTCCCTAATGTGGTACTTGAATTATCTGGAAAAATCCCCTGAAGTATGTAGGGAAAACTTTGAAAATTAGTCTCACGTCCTGCTTTTTCTAGGACGCCGGCGAATCGCTGTCAACAACGGCGTCGACTTTGGCGCGATGCCGGCAAGTGCCCAGATAAGCATGCGCAGTAAGCCCGTCACGCAGTCCAACGGCGTCGTAGTGCGAAAGTCGTCAATTCGTAAGCTCCCTATTAAAGGATTTGCGACGCCGAAGAATGTCGCAAACTTGCATTTTGTTTCCGAAGTGAGGCCGGAAGTTGTTCGAGATATCTCGAGATCAGCTCGAGTTGTTTAGTTTATCTGAGGAAGAAAGAAGTTTTTTTTTTTGCTCGCTCTTCAATTTGTAGTTACTTACCTTCCACTATGCCCCGTTAGATCGCGGAGACGAGATTGCAGCAAAAAAAAAAAAAACAAAAAGACGGTTGATTTGTGGGTAATTTTTTTTTTAATTTGGGCGAGCAGGAAGTTTATGTTTTGCCTGCAGAACTCTGAACAGTCGGCGTGCGACTTTAAGTTAGTAAGTGTATCCGGAAAAATATCATTTCTTACTATTCCTCCACATTCACAATTAATCCCCAACCATGACGCCGAAGTTTACGCTCCATAGCGTCTTGTTGTGTATTTGTCAATAGCAATCCAAACTGATTTTGGAGTATGCATGTTATATACAACCTTTCATTATACAGCGTTTATTTTGTTGCATTATGCTCTGTGTGAACAACACTAGGTTTAACATACATAACGCCACAAAGTTCACTACACTCAGTACCTTTCACGGACATCACTCTTCTCCGCAACGGGAATAATCCAGGTTAGCCCTTCTGTACTGCCCTTTTAAGTTTTGCTCCATCATACTTAGGCTACGATCGGTACGTGCACAGTCACATCAGTGTTCTTTCCTGCAATGATCCTCTACTTTTCATATGCGGGTAGAATTAAACACAGGATCCTTTGCTGTAGAAAATTTATGATCATGTTTGGTATTATCAGCGGACAGCATGGCGAATGGTCGGGTCTGTCTCTGCTCTCAGCCTTTTCTCATTTTTCTGGCACTTATTTCATCGCATGTGAGTGAACATACATTGGAAAGTTTTCGGAGAGGCCTTTTCCACCCTCGGTTCAACTTTGGCAGCCACACAGAGGCCATTCCTTTACAAAAGCAGTATGCATGCCCTTTCAAGCATGTCCGCCATCTTGTGTCCTTTCCGCGTGGCAAAGGATATTTTGCTTCAAGAGTCAACTACTACTCAAACTCGGATAGTAGCTTTCACCAAATTCGCCTGATTGTTAACGGCGATATCAGCGAAAATCCAGGGCCCGAAAATTGCGCTGTTTGCCTCAAAACTGTTGCTCGAACACATCGAGCACTAAGCTGTGACCAGTGCGACTCATGATGCCACATAAAATGTGGCTATGTTACTCCAAAGCAGTACAGAGAATTCCAACAGATGGACAGTATTAGCTGGATTTGCCCACCCTGTTTACTATCGGTTCTTCCCTTCGCTAATACAACATTGAATTCGACACTTAACTCATCCACTGACTCTGATGACACAGGTTCGCTGACACCAACTCGAGAGTCGGAGAAAGACCCGTTACAGGATCTTGTAGATTTAAAACGGGAACATCCTAATCAACAACTGCTATTCCATCTGAACATCAATAGTCTGCAGAGCAAGTTCGACGAACTAAAGGTAATTAACTCTGAACTCAAAGCAGGAATCATCGTGTTAACAGAAACAAAGATCGATTCTTCCTACACGAATGCACAGTTCAGTCTCCCGAACTACACGATCTATCGCCAGGATAGGGCTAAGGGAGGCGGAGGAGTCTTAACCTACATAACATCGCAAATACCTTCAAAAAAACTTAACGTACCTTTTGTACTTGACCTGATAGAGGTATTGGCCGCAAAGGTCGAGTTAAATAACACAAATGCAATTATCTTGGGTCTGTACAGACCTCCGCATTGTAGAGGGACCAATTACTATGCAGAGCTGGAAAAAGAGTTCAATGAATGCCTTATGTGGGCCACCATGCAATTCTCTACGGTTATCATCATGGGAGATTTAAACATGGATAAACTTAAGGTAAATGGAAGAGAGGCAAAGCTGCTGAGAGACATTGAGGAAGTCTTTGAGCTTACATGTCTTGTTACGGAACCCACACGAATTACGGATACATCGCAGACGCTCTTGGACGTACTCCTGACAAATCAACCGGATTTTTTTAAATGCTGGAGTCGGGGATATTGGCCTGAGTGATCATTGTATGGTATATGGTTTTCTCAAGGAAACTGTCAAAAAACACACAGCAGCCATCATTACTTGCAGAAGCTTTAAAAATTTAGATATGGAAGAATTCAAAAAAGATCTGGAGGAAGCGGTATGGTTTAAACAAACTGTGACAGATGTTGATAAGCTATATGATAATTGGTACACGGAATTAATGAGGATTGTGGATAAACACCTGCCATTAAAGAGAGTTAAAGCACGGAAGATAGACGTACCATACATGACGGGTGAGTGGAAGGAAGCCATCCGGAAAAAGAGAAAGTATGCCAAGAAATTCAGCCAAAGCAAAACCAAAGAAAACATGGAGTTAATGAAGAAATGGCGCAATAATGCTACACGATTAAGAAGAAAGGCGATAAAGAATTACTGGAATGCCATATGCGAGGACATGAATAATAACTCGAGAAAATTATATAACACCTTTACTCCGTTCGTCAGGACCAAACCAAAAAAGGACAAAAGTTTAATCTCTCTTAATATCGAAGGTGTTACACACCAGGACCAGAGGCTTGTGGCACAAGAATTTACCAACTACTTTTGTTCGATAGCTGATCATATTGGTGGGAATGACGTGTGGGGTCTAACAGAGGCTCTATGTTATCAACATCATAGTGTCGCGAGCATAAATGCCTGGCACAATCCAAATACATTTAGTTTCAGAAGACTAGAGAGGAATGAGGTCCTCGCAGCACTGAGAGAAATTAGTCCCCATAAAGCAACAGGATATGATATTTTACCTCCAAGAGTACTCAAAATGACAGCAAAACTGCTAGCAACACCACTAACTACTATTTTTAATCAGGCTATCGAGGAAAATCGCTGGCCCAGCGACTGGAAAAGAGGAGAGTGGATCCCGATTTATAAAAAGGAAGACCCCTTAGATAAAGTTAATTACAGACCAGTAACTGTGCTAACTGCGGTTGATAAAATCTTTGAGCAGCTAATATGCAGACAACTAAGTGAAATGTTTCAGCCAATTTTCGATACCTTTTTGTCAGCTTACCGCAAACACTTCAGCTGCGAAACGACCTTGATACGCCTTACTGAAGATTGGAAGCATGCAGCAGACAAAGGGCATGCATCAGTGATATTATCCACGGACAAGAGCAAAGCTTTTGACTCATTACATCCAAATTCGTTACTGGCAAAGTTGAAAGCCTATGGGCTGTCTGA